TAGGTAGGTGCCGGTATCGCGCTCCAACCTTATTCCGACCCGATCGCTCGTATGCAGTATGCATCCATCCCCCCATCCCCCATCGCTTGTCACCGCACAGAGCTGAGTTTGATTTGACGAGTACAAAGGAGCTATTGCAAAAGCTTGAATGGGCGCAGCGGGTGGCTCTTTGGCGCAAAAAGCCGAGCTACAACTGGTGTTCTCTTGGTCCAGAAGTTTTCTCGTGGCTCCAAATCTCCGCATCAGGCGCCCCCTTCCCCCTGAATGGCGCGTAGATATGCCACACTATCGGCCCTCGTATCTGCAAAGAACCTAGAGATGTCAGATTTGTCAGAATTGGGATGTACACTTCGTTGAAGACGGGCGACGATCGCTGACTGTGTGGGCTTTTCAGTGCTAAGATTGACATTAGCCACACACTCTCACATGAACAGGCACGCACGTTGCACAGACGTGCTTGGCACAAGTTGGGTCACAGTGCGGATGATATCACATAGGCAAGAGTTTCCGACAACTTTTCGGGATCGTAATTCGTGAATGCGATAATTGAACAAAAGGCAAAAATACTGTCCCTACATGAACAGCAGCGAGGACAAAAAGCGTACAAAAAGAACGTACGATACAAGAAGTGAATTCAGACCCAGCGCATGCACTGCGATCTCTTCTAGAAATCTCCTACAACTGAAGCAATTCTCCACGCTTAGGCGACATCGCAGCACCAGATTTTTTTGTGTACGCCGCAACCGAAGGTAGTGTATTGAGGATCGGTGAGAATCTTGGCGTGACCAACCTGGCCATTGTAGACCCATCCATCGGACATAGTCTGGCAGATGCCATCGAGACCAAAAAGCTGGGGCATTTCGCATAACCATCCTCCGACGAAAACCTTCTCGAAGTTGTTCTCATCACCAGGAGCAAGAACCTGGCCCTTGCTGCCTTCGAAGAGGAAGTGAGCCATCTCGCCGTTGCTACGCAGAACGGTCCTGATGGCGTTCTGCTCAAGCAATGCGCTATGTTGAAGCTCCGGCAATCCCATCTTCTGGCGCCATTTCTTGATGATAGCCTGGTAGCTTGAGTCATCTGGAGTGGGCTCAGGGGAGGGTTCGGGGGATGGCTCGGGAGTAGGTTCTGGAGTAGGGGCTGGCTCGGGAGCAGGCTGAGGTGTATCAGTGATAACGGGAGCAGGGGGTGCTTCCCAATCATAATCAGGCTCGTCAGGCTGCTCGGGGTAATCGGGCTTGGGAGCGGGGCTTGAGGCGGGCTCATCTACGTAGACAGTGTGGTAGACAGTCTCGACTACTACGTGGACGTTGTTGGCTGGGCTGCCATAGTTCCAAGGGGCCGCAACGACAGCGCCAGCAAGAGCGGCGATGGAGAGAACAGTGGTAGAACGCATGTTGAGTGATGTGATAGATTTGGATGATCAGGTGGTGGGGGTGGAGTGGTTTGACGTAAACGGGAGGTAATTTTTTTTGGTAAATCGCTGGGAAAGAATGGTTATGCCGAAGGGCGGTAGAGAGCGTGGTTGTCCAAAAATGACAAAGTGTAGAGAATGACTGGAAACGTCGAAACCTGGAAGTCGCAGACCTGAGAATTCCTAGAGCCTGGCAGAGAGCGCGGGAACAGACAACATTTATACAGAGTGGGACTAAAGCAAGCGCCATGCATGGTCAGGAAATGAAAGTGACACCCATGAGTCCGCCACGGCCCTATACTGCGCACATGAGCCTGTGCCTTTGGAGCTAGGGTCTCTAGGCAAAATCCTATTCTAGCCCAGCCCTTGGTAACCCGCTTGGATCCTTTCATCTCACCGTGCCGCGCTCGTTGTCAACCCACACAGTGCTCAAAAGCCCATGGAACCAGCCCCTGGCACTGGACAGTGTTGCCTCGGGCTTGGAAGTATCTTCCCCAAGAAACAAAGAACCGGGCGGTAAAAAGCACGCTCTGTTTCTTGATCTGCAAATGCTGACATTTCGATTCGTAAATGGTTCGTATCCTCGAGAGATCTGACAAGCGTCAGGGGCAACCAAGCTATCAGAAGGCTTGCGCGGGGGTGACGTTCCTTGACGCCCGCTTATTGTAGTCTAGACGACATCGCTATGTCCAAAAAGGCAAGACCTTAAGAGACGGCAATGTGTGCATTTTTGTGATTGGTTTACTAGACAGCCCCTGCGCGTACCTGACATGGCTTTGTTTCAGGTGGTTGCCCTGGTCTGTTGAGCGTGCCGTATTGTACTCTCTATGTTGCCAATGACCCGGCCGTCCTGTCGTTTGTGCATTCGCGCACAACTAGCGCCTGTACCGGTACTGTAGTCTTGCTGCAAAGTTTCACTCATGGTCCATATTGAATGCCATTGCTTGCCCAAGCGGAGAAGACCCCAAGCGGAGAAGACCCCAAGTCTGTGCGAACTTGTCGAGAAGTCGAGACTCCGGGAAGTGGAACCTCGAATATTCCAGGCCGACGACACCCTTCTGTGAAACGAACAAGCGTGAAAAATCGAAAAAGACGCTGGGCACAACGTAGAATCGGCAAGATGGAGCTTGCGTCCCGTCGACGTGGCATCCCACCGCTATTCCAGTCGGTTTACAGGATCGCAGGTCTGCGACAAACTTTCACTACAGCAGTACCCTCATGACACTGGCTTACCCCACCGATTGTGTCACCTCGGAACTTCAAGTAGTGCATGGCCACGTGTAGTACGAGACAAGACCACAGGTGGTCAGTGTTATTATTAAGGCGGGATCTATCATCTGGCTGGTGCCGATTTCGAACCTTGAACCGAAATGCGTCATTTCTCGAAATGCCACCACGCTGGGATGGTAAAAGACTGCAGATGAAGATATGGGGGCCCGCAGCAGGGAGTCCCGGAACGTTTTAATCTTCCACCCGCTGCCGCGTGATTGTCTGTTACCACCTCATTTCATAGCTAATGAAGTAATGAAACACTGCCGTGCCATAGGCTGCCGTGCAAGTGCTTTCATGATGTGAATGTCAACCCTCTTCCAAGTACATACGAGACTCCGCTTCATGACGAATACAAGGAATTGCGCGGCCACAGAGTCGAGCCGTGGTCTCGCCGTCGATGCGTATACTTTTGTTGGGAAGATCGGAAGACAAAGGCCAAAGTCTGGAATGGATTTTGTGGGTTGGAATACCGGTATTCTATCAATCAACTGGGTCGGCCTGCTCCACTGTCATGGGTCGGAGAAAAGGAAAGTAATTGACGAAGTTACTGTCGTAAGTAGCTCTTGGCCTTCAACGTAGGTACCGTACGTGTAGGTATGTACCGGTGCCGGTATAGCAGCACCTGCGACATGATATGCGATCGCAGATCAACAAGTCTGTGGCTGCATATCCAACTTCGCACGACATTCACCACTCGGCAAAGTACTAAGACTGTGAATCCTCGGTCACGCCCCAATGTCGGGAAAGAATGAGACGCTGACGCTGGGCCGGTGCCCTTGATCTGCACAACGTCAAGAGATGGAAACATGGAGAATTGAGGACGACGACTGCTATCGACTATATAGGCTTAGCCGCTTGCACCCTCCTCCGACACGCCCGAGCCCCACGCGTCCTCTCTTGGACTCTTCTTTAACGTTGCCTCTCCCCGCAAACTCTGGCATGTCATCATGTTAGTAGACTATCATCAGATGCTATATAGTAAGTTCGCGCAACATGCAGCAGAGTTTTGTCTTTTGTGGCTGGCCACGCGTCTTGCATGTCCTGTAACTACTTGTCCAAGGAAGCCTATCATCCTTCCTCAGGTTCCATTAGCGCCAACAAACTACGGACATCAACTGCAAGAGTGCGGGCACTGGACATACTAGGGTTTCAGGATTCTTGACCTTCAGCCAGTGAACGTTCTGCGGCTCCAGAAAAGGGCCACCGGCTGTTTTATTCACCGGGATATCTCTTTACTACATGCTTCGACTTCCGAACTCTCTGTTGTTAAAGGTTTGACAGCGCTGACTGTTTGAGTCTGCGAACGAGTCTTCGACGAGGTACGTCATCTGATGGATTCAGCGGACGACATCATGTTAGTCGATTTTGCTTTCACAGCTACAGTAGCCTTCCAAGTCACCAAGTATGCACGTTGCAGTCTTGGAAGTCTAGTACATGAAGGCCAAGAGTCGGGTTGTCGTAGGCACGCTGTCTTACGCCATCTCCATAGCGCGGCGGACTTTTACCGAGTACATTACCACTGACTGATTTCAAAAAGACCAGTGACAGCTCTCTGTGACTCTCCTCGGCTAACTTTCAACCAAACAGACTGATAGAGTTGTTTGTGATCGCATAGGCTCTCGTTTGCACATTGAAGCTCTAAAAGATCCTAGTTTTCCACCATACCCCGCTACAGGAAGAGAAATTCTTTGGTCATCCAACCTTGACATGACCTTCCTTCTTCAATACGTTAGTTTGCGAGGTGCAAATAGGCTCGCACACGACAAATTGTGTATTTCATTTGGGATCACTGCTGCCATCGGTGTGGATATTGTGTGGCTGTTGTGCTTACGGCTTACGAAAACCCGCTCACTGCATCTCTGAGACATCGAGCACGACGCCGCGAGAACATCAGCTGTTGCGGACATAAAGCATCGCAAGCGATCCTAGACGAGGAGAAGTCTATGCGGCGCGACCCGGTGGCACTTTCAGATTCCCTTTGAGCGAAACTTCTGTTGAAAAGAATGGCTAATATCTGGGTATATTTACACTCAAAGGTCAGGCGGCCCTTGCTTATTCCCATGAATGCAAGCCCGATTGGGCAATCTGACCAACCACCTGTCGAGACTCCCGCATAGTGAGCGTACGGCTGAACACCAACGCAGACCGAGAATACTGCAGCTGTTGCCAGACAAAGGCGGTGTCCTAGGTTTTGACATGCTGTTACACCTCGTTTCGAATGTACGGCTGTGTCTCAGGAAGCAGTACTCACTGTCAAGTGGTTTTCTTTGTGTCCCAAAATGTTCGAACATGGATAAAGAGTCGCAGTGCATAGCTTTGATCTATCTCTCTCCATTTCAGCACCTGCCTTGTTCTTCCCATTACACTCTTTGTTCATTGTAGCTCCTGGCTCTAGCACGCTCGTTACTCGCATTACCTCACAGTCTCTCTCTCTCAACCCCAATATCAAAGTCTTCAAATACACTGCCAAACGACCGTGTAATTCCCATAAATACTTCCAAATACAATACAATGCACTTCAACCCTCTTTTCACCATCATGGGACTACAAATGAGCCTCGCCCTAGCCGGCAACGCCATCCTCAGCAACCGCTGCTCATACGACATCTGGGTCTGGAGTGTCGGCGAGTCCTCCTCCTCAGGCCCCATCTACATCCCCGCACGCTCCCAGTACTCCGAACCCTTTCGTAACGCAGGCACTTCCTTCAAAATCAGTAAAACAAACCAACTTGTCAGCGGCGCACATACGCAGTTTGAATACAGCATCGTGAACAACAACGTCTGGTTCGACATCTCGCTCGTCGACTGCGCCAAGGGCGAGAACGCTAGTGCGTGTCCTGGCCAGGCCGAGGGTTTGGCTATGGATAGCCCGAATGCGGCCTGTGGCCGTATCAGTTGTGCGCCTGGTAGTTATTGTCCGACCCAGGCGTATTTTGTGGATACACCGGTGCAGAAGTTGGGGTTGGCTGAGCCGGTCTTCGCGTGTCCTGGTGCGAGTACCAATTTGGATTTGTACATGAAGATGTGTGCTAATCAGGCGCCTATTAAGCGGAGTGTTGCCGGTCGATTGATGGCTGAGCTTGGAGGATAGGGGTTGCTGGGCTTTTCGTATATTTCCATTTCGTCAGTTTACGATTGCCTAGCCTTTGAGGCGACGAGTTCTTTATGATACCAATATACTGCCTGGCTTCTTCTTTAACATTTTCGTCTCGAGTATCATGTGTTGTGCTTGTGATCGTACCATAACTGACTTGCCATCGCTCGACTCAAATATTCATAATGCAGTGTTGACTTTCCATGGCATAACATTGGAATCATCGCACCTGTTACTAGTATTCTGCCATACGCCATTCAAAATAGCACTGCCTGCCACAGTCCCACGTCTGTCTTACGCCTTACACCTTATCTCCAGCAAAATCAGCAACACATCACTTTCCAGAGGTCCCACCTCCATCAAGTAAACATAGCATCTAACCACCACCAGAATCCCCTTTCCCTTCTTATTCACATCCAATGCACCAAACCCCCACAAGGGATCAGATCAACAGGCCAGGCCACGCCACTCACCCAAAACCGACAAGCCCAATTCTTGAGATGATCTAAAGTACTAGTCAAGAGTCGTATTAAAAGAG